AGAGTAGTAAACCCTAGTCCTGTAAATCGGGAGATGGGGCCTCCATGGATTGGACATGTTTTTCCAGCACATCCCACAGATGGAAAATTTGGAGATCAAGTCAACACTGCAGGCTCATTGTTGTGTTCCTCAAACCATACTTGAACCATTTTTGCAGTGTGGCAGGGCACATTATGCCGCTGAAAGAGGCCACTGCCATCAGGGAATATGGTTTCCATGAAAGGGGCTTACTTGGTCACCAAGAATGTTTAGGTAGGTGGTACGTCAGGTAATATCCACTTGAATGGCAGGACCCAAGGTTACCCAGGAGAACATTGCCGAAATCACCACACCATCTGTGCTGGCTTGCCTTCTTCCCATCCTGCATCCTGGTGCCATCCCTTTCCTAGGTAAGTGATGCACAAGCACTTGGCCATCCACATGATGTAAAAGAAAACATGTATCATCAGACCAGGCCACCTTCTTCTATTGCTGTGGTCCAGTTCTGATACTCACGTGCCCATTGTAAGTGCTTTTGGCTGTGGACACAGGTCAGCATAAGTATCCAACTGGTCTGCAGCTATGCAGCCCATACACAACAAACTGCAATGCCCAATTTTTCTGCTTCATATCAACTTCAGGGACATGTTTACTTGCGGCCTAATATATCCTATTGACTTTCAGATGTCATTGTAATGAGATAATTAATGTTATTTGCTTAACCTGTCATTGGTCATAACGTTATGGCTGATTGGTGTATATAAAGAGTTCTGCAGGGGTGGGGAAGATGGTAAAAAAAAAAAAGAAGTTTGCCCAGCAATAGGCTATAGCCATGTGTTAATTCTAGTTCTGTTTTGTGCTATCAGGAACAAACAATATACTCTATGCTGTCCACTTACCTGTACTCCACACTAGGTCTGAATGAGACACTGAATTTTCTACTTCAGTTCAGGTTGGGCCAACTGAGTAGCAATCCTGTGAAGGTGAGTTTGAAATAAAAAAAATTTGTGCACAAAAATTTTCAGTGAAGAAAAAACAGAGCCCCTGAGTTAAATAGTGTAACTTGTTTTTATTACAATTATGTACATTTATAGTTTAATTTTTTGTTATCGTTGGAAATCTATACATTAGCACACCGACGAGCACAGTGGGTTGATGCAATTAAGGGAGCGTGGCACTGCACTTAGGCAATGTAGACTTTTCTTCATGTCCATCTATACTTTTTTCCCATATGGCCTTCTCTGTCCCTAAAGCATTCAACACAGTGCAAACTTAGCAATGTCACAGGCAAATATTTGATCTGAAGAAACATATGGATATGGTTTTTAAAGGTTCGGCCAAAGATTGTTGCTATTGGTCTAAGTTTTCCTTACAGCAGAGGATTATAGGAAAAACAGATTTAAAGAAAAGAAATACAAATTGTGTTTGGTGACAACACCTTCTAAAAATAATCTATGTCCAGCATGGATTTTTTACAATTCTTTATTGTATTAAATATTTAAAGTGTAGGTATAGCCAAAACCGTTCTTTTTAGTTTTAAATAATGTAGAGAATGGTTCAAACCCCCTTCTAGTTTATTTTAAGCTGTCTATGTCCCATTGAAGGATTTCTCCTCACTTCTTCTCCTGGAGACAAAACAGGTAGTGAGAGAAAATTTATCAGTGAGGGAAGATCTCCTTTAAGTGGTTGTAAACCCTTACATATACCAAGCGAAGTGATTGGCCTCGGGTGATACAGAGATGAAAACATTATCCGACATAAGCTATAACTGTTTATCTGCATTCTTCTTTTTTCAACAGCTGTTCAGAGCCCAGAATTGATAAACCTTGCCTGAGCTGTCAGATAAAAGGGGGCAGAGAGCTGAAATTACACACTGCAGAGATCAGTGAAGAGAGCTCTGAGACCTGATTGAAGGGAAGGGAAGGGACACCCCCCCCCCTCCACACAGCATACAGGAACAGAGCTGACGCTGTCAATCACGGTCTGTGTGCTGGAGCTTCCTCCCCTTGTTAGGAAAACTTGTCAGAAGTGATTCTTGCTGATAGCAGAGGTATAAAGCAGCAGACAGAAATTACACCTGGTGCTCTTAATTGAGACAAGTACACAATATAGAGGGATATGCTTTGTTCATATTTCATGCCTGATGTTTAAACCACTTTAAAGTTGTTCTAGAAAACGGTTATAGAAACAGCGTCTCCATTGAAAGATTTACCTTCACTTCTGGTTACAACCATAAAATTTAGGATTCCCCATTAATTTCAGCTTTGGTGATAATAGGCCAATGAACTAAAGCTGGCCACATACAGTACCAGAAGATTTTCAAATGACCATTTGTACAAAATTCTACAAAAGTACATTTGATGACTTGACAAATGTCGTTTGGAACTAATTCAGAACTTTGATTTTGACTTTCGAATTTGTAATTGCCTTTCCGAACAAAAAACACAACATGGTTAGAAATGTTTTCGTTGGAGAAAATTTTCCATCCTGCTCCTTCAAGTTTTCTCATCACTGCAGTCAAAAAACCAAACATCAACTTAACCCCACTAACCATTTGAAAATTAAATGGACATTCTTAAAATGAAAAATTTAGAATGAAGTTCTACTAGTGTATGGCCAACTTAGAGAGAGTGAATCTACCCCAAAGGGACACTGACACCAATAAAAACATGAAAGAAGTTGTAACTTTACCTAAAAATATAGGAAAAATTTATTTGGCTATACATACACTTTAGGAAAGAGAATTGCATTTATGCCCTCTGTATTGAAAAATGCTAACTAGAACAAGTATTATCGATTTTCATAATGTAGGAAAATGTTTTAAAAATGTAGAAAAAAAAAAAATCTAACTCCAGACTGGAAAAGGAGGGGGATGGGGGAAATTAAAGGCTGGCATACAAAAAAAAAAAAGATTTGCGGTCAAGATAAGGAGAAACAGACCACCAGCAGGGCAAATACTTATTGTAAAAGGAGAAGTTCACCTTTAATGAAAAAATAATAAAAGCACATCTTTTTGCAGGTAAAAAAAATATTTTATTTTTTTTTTTTTTACACTGGTGCCTGTAAAGCATTGCACCCGAGATCAGCAGATTGCGGGTGCAATATCAGGCTTCTGCAGACTCTATGGGGGTGATTTACTAAAAGTGGAGAGTGCAAAATCTGGTGCAGCTCTACATAGAAACCAATCAGCTTCCAGGTTTTATTGTCAAACCTTAATTGAACAAGCTGAAGTTAGAAGCTGATTGACTACCATGCACTGCTGCACCAGATTTTGCACTCTCCAGTTTTAGTAAATCAACCCCACTCTGTCTGCCCCTACCTCTCAGAAAGGCAGGCAGTTAATAAACTGCAGGAAGAATCAATGAACTATGAGAGCGCTCACCAGCACCCTTTGAGAACAAGCAGTCGGCTGCAATGGCTACTTGAAGTTCATCCATTCACAGACCTCTGTGAATGAACAATGCCACTGCAAGGGGCGGAGCCCTGCACAACGCACTGTTTTTAAATTGTGACAGCGGGTGCGGGAAGAAGAACCTCGCCTGCTGTCACAGGGAGGGAAGGAGGGACTGGAGGGAGAAAAGGCATGAGCTGGAACATGTTACATGTTCCACCCTACATATGAGTGGAACATATAACATGTTCTACAGATGAACTTGGCCTTTACAATGGTAGTAAACTCGTTTTTGTGATATTTTACCTACAGGTAAGCTTATAATAAAACTTACCTGTCGGTAAAATGAGTATCTCCGTTTAGGAGATATTCTATTGAACAGCAACCGGTGATGTCACCGGCACATGCGCTCTGAAAGAACCGTGACATTCCTTAAGAGCTTTGTGCTGTGCCTAGGGCTCCCACACGCATGCACAGGAGTGACGTCATCGCGGCTCGGCCAGTCAAATGGCCAGAGCGCGCGAACCTGGAAGGAAGACCGGCTGATGATGGAAGCCCTGTCAGCGGTGAGAGCGCGCTGCTGGAGGGTTCGTTTTAAGGTACGTTTTTCATAATGTGCTATTATGCAATGCATACTAGGACATTATGATATTGCCTTGCAGGGGGAAAAAGTTTTTTTTTGTTTTTTTTTACTACTACTTTACTACCGCTTTAAAGATTATGTAAAGGTAGAGGGATTTGATCTAATCTACTCCGAAAGCTGCATACAAATTAGGCACGTTTTAACGTGTCATAGCTATTTTTCCATAAATCCTCCACAGAACTGGCTAAAGCAGGTAAGAGATGAGCCCTTTAAAAAGAAGTATTTGAAATTTGTTTTAACTTTGACATTTCTACAGGAAAAGACTGAAATCCAGGAGGTGAGGGATCTCTTTTCAGTTTGTTTTTTTTGTGCACAAGTGGCTTAACTTTATTTAACTTGTGCTTAATTAACTTTAAAAAACTGCCAAACTGCCATCATACTCCAAGAAAAAAAAAAAGTTATTATTCAACACTGTAGATAATGATGCTAGTTTGTAAGCTTGCAGTTGTGCATTCGATTGTAATGCGCAACATGTGCAACACTCAGACAAGTCTGTGCCATGCGCACGCTGCTTACAGTGTGACAAATGGTGATTACAGGTCGTGTGCAAAACACACTACAAGATAAGAGGTGATTTAAAATTGGATGATCGGTGAGCATTCTCTTTTTTTCCATCTCTACATTTGAAAAAAAAAAATAATAAAAACGACGTTTCCCGTAAATCAGGAGAGAGTGCATTCTGGCTCCCGTTTTCATGTTCCCTAACACCTGGGCAGACCGCTGAACAAGAACTAAAGGAGATCTATCGAGGAAGGTGAAAGTGAATTGATCTGTCATTTACATAGATGGAGAGATCACTGTGCAGACACAATGAGAAGATAGCTGAATGGACAGCGACAAAGCAGAGCGCTAGAAAATCTTGCCTGCGATAGACATCGGCTTTTGTATAACTGCATATAGAATTGTACCACAATAGATCACACAGTTCCTTGGCGGTATTAACCCCAGAAAACATCAGGGAGATGGAGGTAGAAGATGGAGATGCAATCATTCCATCTCGTTGCTGGCTCCTTCTGGCCTACGCAACTTATCTACTTGCTCATTGATCTGTCCATCTCCACCCCGGCGGTCTTCGGTTTGGACTCCCATGCAATCCTCTTCATCAGCTTGTCCTACGTCTTCTTCATCCTCTTCGTCCTCCTCTTCTCCTTGGACCTCCATGCGCACTTGGCTCTGCACATCAATTTCAGGATCCCCCTCTCTGGTGGTGGGCAGGTGATGGGAGTTGACCTTAGCTCCCTCGGGGCTGTGGTTCTCCTTGACGGGAGAAGAGGAGCCAGACTCATTGCTAACAGGGGAAATGTCACTGCTGCTGTTGTGGTTAAGCGTTGCCTGGTTGGGTAAAGTGGGAGGTTTTATGGGCATTTGCCAAGTCGGAATCTTAGGTGTAGATGGAGATGGCGGGAATTGCCTCCTAGTAATGGGAAGAGAAAGAAGTCAAAACATTATATGGATAATGCCCAGATGTATATATGAACAAAATCACCTACAGTCTGTTATTTCCCTGACTTGACATACTTTTTTTCCCAGTTCCCAATAAGGCACGTCTGCGTCAAATAATGGAGCCCCACATAAAAAAGGAAAGTAAAGAACTTTAATGCTCTGTTATTTGATGCTGTTTTGCACCCTCAGAAGCTGGCAGTGTGTGATATCAGGGCACATGCACAAAAGGTGTTACAGCTTGTATTTATAATGTCCAACATTGTAGGTGACCATCTTATTTGTGTAGCTGATTTGCTTTGGTGAGGCTGCTCCTGTATAACAAAAAAACATCAACTGAAAGAGGGAATCTTGAAAGAAATCCAGATATGTAGAAAGTAGTAATGGTGTCACCGCAATGATAAAGAGTCCTGAGCGCTGGCATGATCAATGGAAATGGAAAGCCAACGTGTTTCAGGGATTCATACACTCCCTCCTCAAGGATAATTATGATAAATTTTCAGCAATGCCTGGACCTGCAGAGAGTGCTGCACTACATATTTAATAAAAATGGTTCTAAAGGCAGAAGGTTTATTGTACCTTAAAGGAGAAGTACAGCCAAAGCTCGTTTGGCTGTACTTTTCCTGTGGATCACAGGAGTGTAGCTTGTTCTGCACTCCTGTGACCCATTTTCAGCAGACAGCGTATTAAAGTCTGCTGTCGGCTCACATCATCCAACTGGTCCAGGCTGGGGAAAGTTTGTGATCATATGGTCAGAATTCACCCAGGAGCCTGGACTGGCACCTGGCTCAGCCTCTCCGCAATCTGCTGATCCTGAGCCTGGCGCTCCCGCCCCCTCCACAGCCCAGTGTTACAGTGAGCGCTGGGGGTGTGGGGCAGAACAAAGAGCGGTGACTGACAGTCATCGCTCTCTGCTCAGAGTGGCAGCAAGAACTGAGCGACCAGCTGTGTTTGACCCTTAGAGCCAGCGGAGGACAGATGCAGCTTTATAATTAAAAAATATTAAAGTATAGTATAAGATATCCAATGCATTTCAGGGGGTATACACATTAAAAGAGCAGTATAAATACTGCTCTTTTAATGCATTTAATGCATTAAGGTAAAAAAAAAACCTTCTGCAAGCAGCTTACCCCCCTCAGCCCCCTAATTTATACCTGAGCCCAAACTCGATCCAGCAATGTGCATAAGAGCAGCGGCTCTTAAAAAAGTAAAAACTGAGCCTTTAGAATTACACTAATATCTGGCTGTCTTATTGTTCTATGTATTTAATGTCTAGTGTGACTTGTAATTTTACTTTGGAAAAGCAATAAAAAGAATTAAAAAAACAAAGAAAACAAATCTCTTCATGTATTGATGAAGTTACATAATGTATGCTGTAAGCCCTGATGAAGGGGGAGTGTGTATACCCCCTGAAATGCATTGGATATCTTATACTATCGGTTATTCAATAAAAAAAATTTAAATAATCACTCAGGACTTTATATCCAGTGGTGCAGTGCCCTTATTGCTTTCTACATAACAAGTGTGCAATGCTGGCTTATCCTTTAAGACCGGGGCCAACGCAGGAAGAAGTTATCCATTCCAGCAAAGCTGTTTTTCCTGGGAGAGACTCACAAGGTAATAGCGGATGAAATGTCATCTTTTGATGCAGTTTAGAAAGTGTGTGACTTGTTGTCATTGGTAGCAGGCACTCTTCAATCAGCATTTATAATTCAGTCTCCGTGTGATCGCAGGAACTTATTTTCTACCGTACGCTGTTCCACTATAAGTCCCAGCATGCATTTGTACTGTCTCTAAACAATCTATTGCTTCCTTCAAGCTGAGACTAATGGGAGTGACTGTTGTACTTTAGAAGCTTGGAGTTTGCTGTATCTGGTTCTGACGTTATGGTGCCAGCGATGGTCATAAAGAAAATTAATTTGGCTGATAATGCGATATCAATTATAGCATTTCAGTGAATTATAGCTTAGATCGGACCATGATGTCAAATAGGATGGTGAAATTAAAACGTGTAAAAATAATTAAAAGCTCTCCCAGGATAGCACTAGCTGACTCTGGACATTTAGTCATCGGTGTCTGGATATGTAGGGCATTCTGCTGTCCTGATATATAATGGCCAGGGCCCTCCAATACAGGTTGTCATGGGGTCACCTGACCCCCGGTGGATGGGTGGACACCAATCTATACGCAGAGTCTCTTTATAACGGTTGGGGGAAAAAAAGCTTTGCTTTTCACAACCAATCAGGTGTACACACACATTTATATAGACAGATATAGATATCTACAGACTTAGGGAGAATGGAACAAAAACTGAACTGAAAACACAATGCAGTCGTCTGATCCACAAATTATATATGGATAAAATTAAACCCGCCTTCTTGCACTTCCTGGTTTCCTAAGACACTGGTGACATAGCCAGCGTGTGCCTGCTGCCCCTGGGAAGGCTACATCACCAGTGCCTACCAGGAAGTTCTGGGTTCTTCCCCCAAGGTCCTGCAAGATTTCACAAAATCTCAAGAGATCTTGGGGAAATGGCCTTTCTCTTTTGATAAGCAGCAGCTCCCAGCTCTTTACATGCGCAATGGGCAAGATTTCAGCAAAATATTTTCATGGAAGTAGGGGAATACCAGATTTTAAAGGCATGCAACGTATTACTTTTCATTTACACATTTCTTTATTGCTGGCAGTTTACTGAATAGGAAGGAAGGCAACTGGCCAGCAGTATGAATAAGATCTCCTAGCTGTAGAACCATCCAGATGATCCATGTCAGACATTTGTGAACAGCCAAGAAATTCACAGGTACCAAAATGTATGTGAATGTGTCATCCCTGAGCTGGCATTTAGTCCAGGAAATAGATGGTGATCCTGGATGATGTCTGAGAAAAAATGTCGTAAGTGAAGGCAATGTCAGGGGAAGTAATGTGCTCTCTGGGCAAGGTCATAAATACCTATCCATGCTAACTCAACACATTACTTGTTGCCCCACATTTAACATGAAACAAAATATGTCTGATGCCACGTCCACTTCAACTTTGTCTATCCATTTAAAGAGTTGCCGTAAGATATGCACAAGTTTACCACCCTGCCAGCATCTCCCATTACAACCTCCATTACCTGTTCAGCAGCAGCCCTTTTAGAGAGTAGATTTCAGTCTTTAATTCCTGGATGTTCTGAGATTCCAGAATAGTGTTAGATGAACTGAAGGCCTACAAAGTACAAAGAAAAAAATGTCATAAACCCCCAAAAATAATTACATTGTAGCATACCAAACCATCCATGTGGTGGCTGCATTAGTTTTCTTATTTAGGCTTTCTTTCCTAAGTGGATGTGATCCACTTAGATGACATCAATGATCATTGTCACAAACTCTACACCAATTTTATCGCCTTGAATTGAGGAAGTTGCAAATTAAAGTCATAAAAAGCATTTTCTTTCGTGAAATAATGTAACTGGATGTTTTACTAAAGCACACGACTCATGCCTATCCTTTGAATAACCACTTTGAGCGCCTTTGTCAATCCAACTATCGATGGGCTTTTTTTGGGTTGACTCCTCCTACCAATTTGTTAACTCCACCCCCGCACTAGAGGAAGCCCATTTTTCCCCCCTTGCTGGTGACAGCAGCCTCAACAGTTGCAGGTCCAATTTTCCTTTGACTGTGGAAAAATGTTAACCTTGTTCCTGAATTGATCTACTACACTATAAGGGCTCTCTAGCCTCGGTCTCTTCATTTTTGGTGGACACTCTGAGCTTTACCAGAGATCCCTGGTCAGCTCCTCAAGATCTTTTGGCCCCAATCTGCCGCCACACCCTAGACTCTTAATGGCACAATGGGAAGGATTTCTCCATCCACCTCACTTGTAGGGTAATCTGTTTTTTTATCAGCCCACTGGATGATTCAACTTAAAAAAATTAATAAATTAATCTGTGGCCAGTCTAAGGCCTGGTCCACAGGGACTGAATATTGGTCAGTAACAGCTGGTTCAGCAGAAACCGTCCAACATTTGGCCCATGTGTACAGCAGCCTGTCCAGATTCTGTAGAACAGAAAAACATCTGCCGATTGGCAGCCATTTGACCGCTGTGTTGTGGCAGGGTGTGGGGTGGTCCCCTGTCAGAACACAAATGCTCAGCGAGGAGATCATTGTACCAATATCACATAGTACAGAGACCTCCTCACAAGCTCCTCAGTGTGTGTACCAGGCATATATTGTAAGACGTTCTCTCATGGATCAGTAGGTAGTCTCCTCCTTGAGCATTGTTTGTCAGTCTTGCAATGACGTGAGCAGGCACAGACACCACTCATTCTGGGTTTCCGGTTTAGATCACCTTATTAGCATAGTTTCAGAAACTGGGACAAAACTGGGTCTAAATTGTCAAATGCTGTGAAAGACTATTTTTTCAGAAAACCAAGCAATCTGCTCATTTTCAGTCAGCGCAGGAAACAAGCTTAAGAAATTTGCAGCTAGCAACAAATGGTCCAAGAGCATTTTCAAATGTGCGGCCTTCACATTCTCACCACACTTGTTTGTGGTGGATTAGTATAAGTCTGTAGAAGTATCAATGTGAATAACCACAAAATTAGAGAAAACCACATGATGTATATTTATGAAGTGAAACCTAATGCACACAGTGTATCACATCCACTGCACAATGAAAAATTCACTCGGCTGACAGGGAACTACCACAAAAATGTCTTGTGGGGCTTGTGTTGGTGGGCTTTTTGTTTGTTTTAGGAGTGGCTTCTCTCTCAATATAAGTCAATGGAAATACGAAAAAAACCTCAATGTAGGTCAACTGCAGTGCAAGGAATTCTGAATGATCCCAGAAGATGCTTCATTTGCCCTCCAAAGCCTGCCCTAAAATGTGACCTTTGTGACAAATAGGAGGGTGGATCCCTCACACAAGATTTCCCCCCATGACCAAGTAGTGTCTTCCAAGAGTCAGGGAGACTCTCCTTACATAAGGGTGAGTTCTTGAGAGTCATCCTAGAAGGCCCCTTTTGCCCTCATCTGTACCTATTGCATGACTTCTGAGTGCTCATTGTTGCGCCATTCAATTGTGGTTGTTTATTGTTCACCTTTTAGAATTTATTTTCATACTAGACATGGCTCTTGTACCATGTATTTGGCTACACTTCCTGTGAAGTCTACAATTCATTTTATTTAGCAAACACCTCTAAATAATAATAATAAAAAAACAAAAAACCAGGAGGATGGAGGTGCCACTCACCTTGGCAGCAGCCAGCTCCTGGGTTAGTTCCTGGATCTTCTGTTGGTGTTGTGCAAGCAGCTCCTGTGCAGCGGTCAGTGTGGCTCGGATTTGAGTTACTGCAGGACAAAATAAACCACTGAGAATAACATGGTGATGGACTTCAAGGATTTCATAGGCTTTTTCAGAGTTCTCACAATGACGTTAAAAAAAAAAAAAAAATTGCCCAAATACAAAATCTTACTAATGAAAGTCTGCGGTCATTTGTTTTTTTTACATTGTCGCAGACCTTGCTTTACCAATTGCAAAATTTTGGCTGGTCTACAAAGGGTGACTATCAATTTGTCTATCTAGGGTAAAATGTTGGTGTAAAGCTTGCCCCCGAGCGCATTATACTCCCCTCTCTATCACTGCTCCATTGCTCCTTTTTCTGCAGCCACCACTGTAAAATACATGGTGCTGCCTTGTATGGGGGCCCATGTGACCTCCTCCTATGATGCAATGCTTGGGGCTAGAGGCCAATTGCTCTTTCACATTAGGATACCATCTTGCGCAAAACACACCAAGTTAGTGAAATAACTACAGGAATAGTCACTTCAGTGGTCAACTTTATGGTTGTCTCCAGTAAACACAGTATGTGCAGGGGGGGGGGAAAATACTGTTCAATTTTCAGTTTCAGAGTTCTGCTTTGATGAAGAATTCTAGATAGATTGTAAGCTCCACAAGCAGGGCCCACCTATTCCTTCTATACTGAAATGTATTGTAATTGTACGGTCTCCCTTTATATCGTAAATTGCTGCACAAAACTGTTGGCGCTATATAAATCCTGTATTATAATAATGAAAAGACCACATTCTAGATCCCAGGCTCAGGCTGAACTCAGAATCTTGACTTCTCTCACAAATGAAACCAGTCACATCAGGTTCCAGTCTTCCTAGGATGGGGAAAAAAAAATAGAAGAGCTCAAAATACGTATCTCTTCCTGGAGAACATGCTGCTCTAGGCTTCCACCTGTGCAGGTCACATGGCTACGTATTTGACCATGTGCTCTCTGCTGAAGAGCAGGACCACCCAATCTGTGTTTTGGTCCTCCTCTTCAACAGTGATCTTGTAGTTAAATGTCTAACTTGAAGTTAAAGCAGAACTTCACCCAAAAGGAGAAGTTCTGTTTGTCTGCCTCCCCCCCCCCCCCATGACATTTGGCATTTTGTTTTCTGGGGGTGGAGCGGTATTGACAGATAGCCACTTCCTCCTCCACCTGGATTGCCTTGGTAATCCAAGTGGAAGCTCGTGCCACCCCCTTAGGCTTCTGGGTCACGTCAGAATGCTGGAGGCACAACGTGAAGCCCAGGGACTTGAAGATCGCCGAAGAGCCGGCCCAGGTGAGCATGGCGCTGGATCTCTGGATAGGTAAGTGACCTATTATTAAAAGTCAGCAGCTACGATATTTGTAGCTGCTGAAGTTTAATTTTTTTGTTTCTAAGGTGAAGAACCGCTTTAAAGTGGTTGTAGATCAGAGGTATCTTTACTTTAATGTATTCTCTGCATTCGGGTGAAAAAACCCTTTCATGTTTAGCTCCCCCCGAAAACACCCTAAATATCTACATCCACAAACACAACAGATGTGAGTCAATATACATTAATGATATTTGCTGAAATCTGTTTATGTATATTTACATCCACGTACACTTCTTTGTTTGATCAGTCCACACATTAATCATGATCAATATTATGATCTCTGTGAATCTCTCTGCATGGGCACCGGTTGTAGACATGAACTGGGTGACTCTAATCAATATGATACAATTGTATCCAATATATACTATATGATGCAAGAAAGCTTTTTATGCATGTATGTCTTTTATGTACTTTTGTGAGTTTCACAGCTCATTCAGCATTTACCACATTTTTAGCAATGTTTACAGACTGGCTTTTTAGATTGATATATGGTATCTGGAAGGGCGGCACATGTGATAATTGTCTCCAGCCATGGGCGAGTCTGTGACGACCCACATGCAGTTTCTGCACAAGACACTAGAATATATAAGAAAGGGTACAGGTATTGTATGTGTTGGCTCTGAGAAAGAGGAAAGTCCTCGAAATGCGTTAGAATTGTTGGAGGTCCAGGGTTCCCGTCACCTAGTGTGGACTGGATAGTGCTGTTCTTTTATGATGTGCTTTTCACATTATTGTCATCTGTGAGTATATTTCCTATCATCTTTTATCAATAAATTATTTTTTTTTAAGGTGATGCACTAGGCTGGTGCGCCCTCTGTTTGTTTTCTTTGTATCCAATGTATTTGGACTTCCGCTATCCTTTGAGGGCAGCAAGGCATGCACTTTCCAAGGTAATCAATATGAGGCTGTAGCCTTTGCGGAGTCCATCCCCAAGTGCAGGAGTATATGTGTTTGCCCCCTAAATATTTACCTGAGCCCGATCTTGATCCAGAGCTGTGTTCAAGAACAGCAATGCTCTTTCTCCTCACAGTCTCAAAGACAACAGTGGCAGCCATTGGCTGTCAGTCAAATTCTGTGAACAGAGAGCATATGGGGGGGGGGGGCAGGGCTGAGCCATGCTGTGTGTGCCCCCATAGCAAGCGGCTTGGTATGGGGGTACCCAGAAGGGAGGAGGAGCTGAGAGCGCCGGTGGGGGACTCCAGAAGAGGCGGTTCAGGGCCATTCTGTGCAAAACCATTGCACAGAGCAGGTAAGTTTACCGTGTTGATTATTTTAATACATTAAAAAAAAATCACTTTAAACATTTGGACTACAGGTAACATCATCACCCTACTTTCTTTTTTTATTTTATTTTTGATGTGAGAATGCATTTGACAATGATGGTAGCAGCAACGTTTGACCAATAGAACCATACAAAAATAACAGTATTCATTTTAATAGTTTTAAAGTGATACTAAACCCCGGACCCTGCATTCACTATATCCGGGCTCCCCCCGCACCCTGCATTCACTATATCCGGGCTCCCCCCGGACCCTGCATTCACTATATCCGGGCTCCCCCCGGACCCTGCATTCACTATATCCAGGCTCTCCCCCCCGGACCCTGCATTCACTATATCCGGGCTCCCCCCGGACCCTGCACTCACTATATCCGGGCTCCCCCCGGACCCTGCACTCACTATATCCGGGCTCCCCCGGACCCTGCACTCACTATATCCGGGCTCCCCCCGGACCCTGCATTCACTATATCCGGTCTCCCCCGGACCCTGCATTCACTATATCTGGTCTCCCCGGACCCTGCATTCACTATATATGGTCTCCCCGGACCCTGCATTCACTATATCCGCCCTCCCCGGACCCCGCATTCACTATATCCGCCCTCCCCGGACCCCGCATTCACTATATCCGCCCTCCCCGGACCCCGTGCATTCACTATATCCGGGCTCCCCCCGGACCCTGCACTCACTATATCCGGTCTCCCCGGACCCTGCATTCACTATATCCGGTCTCCCCGGACCCTGCATTCACTATATCCGGTCTCCCCGGACCCTGCATTCACTATATCCGGTCTCCCCGGACCCTGCATTCACTATATCTGGTCTCCCTGGACCCTGCATTCACTATATATGGTCTCCCCGGACCCTGCATTCACTATATCCGCCCTCCCCGGACCCCGCATTCACTATATCCGCCCTCCCCGGACCCCGCATTCACTATATCCGCCCTCCCCCGGACCCCGCGCATTCACTATATCTGGTCTCCATGGACCCCACATTCACTTTATCCGGTCTCCCCGGACCCTGCATTCACTATATCCGCTCTCCCCGGACCCTGCATTCACTCTATCTGCTCTCCCCGGACCCGCCCTGCATTCACTATATCAGGTCTCCCCGGACCCTGCATTCACTATATCAGGTCTCCCCGGACCCTGCATTCACTATATCTGGTCTCCCCGGACCCTGCATTCACTATATCTCCTCTCCCACAGTACACACAACATGGAAATGCAATCATTTTTGTAAATATAAGCTGCTAAATACCTTTTCTCATCAGCAATTAGAGCAGTCTTGTGACTTCTATCAGTGTTCAGCAGAGCACTGATTAAAGCTTGTAGGAGGAGTTTTCTCTTTTGCTCTAGGAGGATGGAGAACCCCTGATCTGGACAGTGCTGATTGGCCCTGTGCTGATCACATGCACTATTCCAAGAAAAAAAACCTATCAATACACACCAAACTGAGCATTTGCAGAGTGTCTCCACTTGATATGTCTTATCAGGAGATAAGAGGGGGACACTGGAAGAAGGGGAGGACCAGAGAAGTCAGGATCAAACAGTGTTTTTACATAATGCAGAGGGTTAACCCCTTAGGTTCCACAGTGAGTAGAACAAGCATAATTTACTGCATATACAGACTGATTTTACTGTTGTGGGATTAGGAACACTTTAAGGTTTGGATTAGTGCTACTCGGGCTAAGAATGAGTGTTGGATGGCAGTCAGTCTATTATCTAACAGTTGGAGGAAGGCTTCAGCTAATAGAATATTAAGTATAATTTAGGTGGAAGGTAGAAAGTCAATTGGAGGATCATCAGTTATTAGTGGTTTGATAGCTTTGAGTGTGCTAGAAACATTGTACTATGGATTGTTGGCTAACTATAGGCAAGGATCGAATGAAAGATTCCCAGACATCAAAAATGTTTGGACCCGTGTTTCCCCCACCTTCCTTTCATTTAAGTAGAAGACCAGCTAACCTACTGGCTGGGATCTGACACCTTCACAAACTACATGAACTCACCCCCCCTCCTCTACAACATACTTATAGGTAGCAAATCCAATTTAGACAGGACAATGTTTCCTTCAGCTGCCAATGTATTTCTAGCACTGTTCACTCACTCAGCACAGAGAAAGAAATACATTTTTAAAATAAGACAGTTAGGCCTCTTTCACACGAAGGGTCTGATCAAGTCTACCCATCAGTTTTTTCGGGCAGACCTGATTTGAACCTCCATTCACCCCTATGGACCAGTGGGTGTAAACAGACTTGCGTTCATTTACAACAGCCTACCTCCAATCTGATGCAGGTAGCTAAAAAGAAACATAAAGGGAACCTTCTTCCTCCATCGAGGTGGATCAGATCAGAGGGCAGTTGGGTGAAAACGGACAGCA